ACTTAAGACATATATGTAATCCACAAACCAGTGTACAGTAATTACACATTTTCATCTTACGAGATGTGTTAGATTAAGGACCTGCCCGAAATACAATACGTATTAGTGGCCTTGCATGAATGTAAAAAAATACCAATCTTATGTAATCTCACCAACCCATTGTACCTTCTTGTAAATAAATTACAGTATTATTATTATTATTATTATTATTATTATTATTATTATTATTATAGTTTGGCCAACATTATTGCATTTAGAAATTTTAGTAAGGAATCTTTCAGAACTTTATGTACCACATTTATCAGACCAGCCCCAAAATATGTGACACCTGCATTGAGTTTTTATATTGTCCAACACAGAAAGAGCTTGGAGAAAGGCCAGAGATATGTCTTTCCCAGAATAATCCCAGAATTGGGATGTACAACTTACAAAAGCTAATACAATTAAATCTCGAGTCACTAGAAGGTAGAAGTTAGGGAAGTCATGGGTACCATATACAAAGTCTTCAATAGAATTGATATGGCAGACAAGAATATTTTTTGTTTGGAATGTTCCAGCATTCCTGCAAGGGAGCTGGTTGGCCGAGCGGACAGCACACTGGACTTGTGATCCTGTGGTCTTGGGTTCGATCCCGGGTGCCGGCGAGAAACAATGGGCAGAGTTTCTTTCACCCTATGCTCCTGTTACCTAGCAGTAAAATAAGTACCTGGGTGTTAGTCAGCTGTCACGGGCTGCTTCCTGGGGGTGGAAGCCTGGTCGAGGACCGGGCCGCGGGGACACTAAAAGCCCCAAAATCATCTCAAGATAACCTCAAGAAGCACTTTAGAGGCTATATGGTACCATATAGCCTCTAAAGATACAGCAACAAGTTGCCAGTTTCCTGTATCTGTCGCAGCCACTAGAGCTTATATAGAGGTCCTCCGCCCTCTAAGGTCAAGTTACTGACCATCCCCAGAACCCTCCCTACAATATGTAGTTGACTAACTCTTGAGTAACTATTTACCGTTACGTGAACAGATGTGTTAGGTGAAAGGAAATGTAATTATCCACCTACAGTATAAGATCTGACCTAGGAACTGACAGGTACATAAAGGTAACCATGCAATTACTGTATAGTTAAAGCAAATAAAAAACAATTTATAAATGGCTGTACATTTATAATTAGGAAAATAGTATTATAGTCACAACTGTTACAAGCATTTATTTATTTATTTTATTTATGCATATACAAGAATGTACATAAGGAATGTGAGGATACAATTATGGTAATTACAGTCTTGTAAAGCCACTAGCACGCGCAGCGTTTCGGGCAGGTCCTTAATCTAAGAAAATTTTAAGGAGGTAAATACTTGCAAAATTTATAGACAAAAAAATGATAACAGATTACATGGAATGAAAAAAAAAAAAAGATGAGAACACTGGAACTGTGTTAGCCTTTTTCCACACATCAGCTACAACTCCTGTACACAGGGATCCCTGAAAAATCAGTTGAAGTGGATTGCTGAATGTAATAGAACTCATGAGCACCACACCAGAAATAAATACTGTTTCTCTTTGATATCCCCAGTCAGACTAAATCTGTTCAAAGACTCCATGCAAATGAAAAGGCCCAGTCTTTGAAACTCACTCCCTGATGAATTAAACAATTGTCCAACTCATCCCCTGTTCAAAAGTATAACCAAAAACTTCCTAATTTCATCCTCATAGTTTCCTACCTTTTGCTTCAAACTCACACTGTATCTTGTACTTCCCACTTCCCCAATATTAGTACTTAAGACATATATGTAATCCACAAACCAGTGTACAGTAATTACACATTTTCATCTTACGAGATGTGTTAGATTAAGGACCTGCCCGAAATACAATACGTATTAGTGGCCTTGCATGAATGTAAAAAAAATACCAATCTTATGTAATCTCACCAACCCATTGTACCTTCTTGTAAATAAATTACAGTATTATTATTATTATTATTATTATTATTATTATTATTATAGTTTGGCCAACATTATTGCATTTAGAAATTTTAGTAAGGAATCTTTCAGAACTTTATGTACCACATTTATCAGACCAGCCCCAAAATATGTGACACCTGCATTGAGTTTTTATATTGTCCAACACAGAAAGAGCTTGGAGAAAGGCCAGAGATATGTCTTTCCCAGAATAATCCCAGAATTGGGATGTACAACTTACAAAAGCTAATACAATTAAATCTCGAGTCACTAGAAGGTAGAAGTTAGGGAAGTCATGGGTACCATATACAAAGTCTTCAATAGAATTGATATGGCAGACAAGAATATTTTTTGTTTGGAATGTTCCAGCATTCCTGCAAGGGAGCTGGTTGGCCGAGCGTATAATGTAGTACTATGTTACATGGTTGTAACATAGTACCATGTTACATGGTACTATGATTGTTTGTTGAGTAATTTAATTGTGCTTTAATTTTGTCTGCCTTATAAATTGCAAAGCATTTACATTTTGTAAATAAACACCACTGTATAACTGCTACCAAAATTGTGTGTCATAGTGTGTGAAGCTTGAAACCTCATCACATGGTAACTGCAGCGGTGCCGCTAACCTCAGACACTAAATGCCCCTGCACATCTGCGCAAATAGTTAAAGCTTTTCTAAGATGGAATGTTGCTGAGAAATCTGTTTTTGGATAGCAGTTTGAAGCTGGAGGGAGTTTAAGAGGGGTGAAAGCACGTCGAGTGATGGAATTAGTATCTTGCTGAAGTATTCATCAGTAGAACAGTAAATAAGAGATTAATTAGTGTATGTCTTGTGAGACATGTTTATTTTCAGATCAAGTAAGTTGTAGTGTTTTTGTGATGGATAGAGCAGTGACCTTTGTCAGTCATGTTTTATAAATATAGCTTATGTGTGTTGGTGTTGAGTATTGGATCTTAACTTTGATGATATACCAATGTACAATATTTACCCTTCTCAATTGATTTACAATTGGTGGTTTGAAGGAGTTGCAACACCAGCGTAACCGGACGGGCCAGTGGCCTTGACTATTTGTCATGCTTTAAGTGCTGGTGAAATAGGGTTTAGATTTGTTCAAGATATATTTTGCTATTAATTCTGGGATACTGTATCGTGATCCTAGGCACTTTGAGGAAACATTATGCATGTATACACTTGCTGGTGCTCTTCTCAATATTGTTTTATTTATACTGTAACAAATTTTTAATTTTAAAGACTGGGATGTTTTACATTTTTGAGTACAATATTTACTGCTTGTAGATGTATTTGTTTGTCTGTGATTAATATATTTGCTATGTTTAAACAGACAATAGCAAAAATACAGTACTCAAATACAAATGTTTATTCAAAAGAATGTGTATACAAAGACCGTATGAATAATGTACAATTGTAGGGACAGGAGTTACACAATCTATTAAGCCATTATTACGCAAAGCATTTCGGACAAAAAATTGTACTCCTATGGGTTAGGTTTCAATTTCACTCGCCAGCTGTTCCTGCTGCTCTTTGTTTATGGGATAATAAACTGGGATAATTATGGGATGTGAGGAGAGCTGCTGCCATCACATGTAGATCATGAAATATTACCTGTAGCGGGCTCCACATTTTCTACTGACATCTTAACTTGGAGCCAGAACAATATTGAGCAAATTCAATAATGAGAAATGTGAACTTCAGGGTGGGGTGGGGTGGGAGGGGGAAAGTCAAATAGTACATATTAGTACATATGACCAAACAGTTGCTACATGTACAGTATGTATACTATTATGCTGTACTATTGTTTTAGGATGATGGGCTGGAATTTTGTATAAATTTGAATGAGCCTTACAAATTGGTGAAGGCTATATAGTACAAGTTGTTTCAGGAATACAGTAATTGTATTTATAATTCCCTCAGTAGTACTATAAAATCTCTTTAATAAAATTACAATAATTGTTTAAAGGTAAACCATCCAATAATTATTTATTGTGCTATACTTTTTGAATCTTCAATATACAGTAGATAATCTTCTTATTAACATTGTAAGACTTTTGCTATAGAGAATATTGACTAGCTTGGACCATTATTTTTAGGATTTCATCATTGGGTAAACAGATAGTATTTGATCTTTAGTTCATCATCAGTCAGTATATCGTAAATTCCAACCTGTTATCGTGGAAGATGCATTGCAAACCTGGATTAATCCTTGGCGCTCATTCTCTTAATGGTTCAGTCTTATTTTTAATCTCCCAGGTCCATTTCTCAACTCAAACAAACACATGCGGTGAGAGTTCGTGCAGAGTTACCGATGTTTATTGACAGAGTAAGTGGTGGGATGGGCAAGTGAAAGACCACTTTGAGAGGGGAGGGCAGCTAAAGCTACAGAGTCATATCAGGCTTGTCAGTGTTTGCTGAGCAAGTGTGTGTCAGGAGTTGAATTTTTTGGCAGATAATGATTAGCACGGCAGTATCTTAATATGCATCGTTTAGGCGTGTATGCTTACTGTTTTCTATTACTAATGATTTTTATTTTATTTTTTTTTTCCTTCACAGCCTTTGCATATATATAGCCTATAGGATGAAATAATTTTTTGCACATTTATTGATTTTGTTGCAAAATGTTTGTGTACTGTATTTGTATGTAACATGAGAGCAAGTCTGGTGGAAATGAAAGTCCTGATCAAAACCAAATTTTCATTTAATTGCCTTGTATAAAATTGATGCATAGGTTAGGTGTCTTCACTAGGCTAATACAAGCATGAATAATGATTTAACTATTGAATAACTATTGTGTTGAGTGTGCCTGTATTTTGAAAGTTGACTATACTGTATATACTGTATAGACGAATGAATTAAAATATCAATTTTGAATATGTCTTACTAATTTCTTCGCCATTTTTAATTACTGTAGTTATTTGATAGTAGAGAGTGATTATATAATTTATCTGACAAATACCATACAGGAACAAAGCTTAGGTAACTTATAATACCAGAGCATCAGCTTAACATCACCAATGCTTTTATTTTTTCAGCCAGATACCAACCATGTCTCGAACAGCTGACCGTTATGATCGCCTCTTAGAGTGTGGACGCAGGTTATATCGGCACAGTTGTAGTATGGCATATGGACGTGCACAGTGGATAGTTATTTCAAAGATAATTCCTTCACTTGGAGCTTGTATTCACACCCAGTACTTAAGAGTGAAGACATGCTTAGCTACTGGGAAAAAAAAACACCTCACATTCTGCATACAGTTTTTGCTAATTAATTGCCATCTTTAACCAAAGTTGCCTCTACTGACATTAAAGCATTTTAATTGATTCCATATGTAAAGGACTTACTTGGGTATAAGCTTGGCCGAATTGCATCTTGCTTGCTTTTTACTAACGACTGGCTGGTGTTTGCAGGCACCATTACTTATTCTTATTAACAACACAGGAACTGTTCATGTTCTGCCTCCAATACACACATTCCTGCTAAAATTAACGCTGAATCATTTTATGAATCATCTCGTATACAGTATTTATATACAGTATTAGGATCCAGACATGTACCGGGGGTCCCTCCAGAAATGCACCAGGAGCCCCTCCAGACACCCCCATTCCAGGGGCCCCTCCAGACACCCACCCCTTCCAGGGCCCCTCCAGAGCCCCTCCAGACACCCCTTCCAGGGGCCCCTCTAAACACGCACTGGGGCATTTCCAGACATGCATTGGGGGTCCTTTCACATACAAATATGCGCTCTCTCGTTCTCTCTCTCTCTCTCTCTTGTTTCTCTCTCTCTTTTTTTTGCTTGCTTGCTTGCTCTCAATCATTTTCCCAACTATTCACTCCATTGTTCTCATCCTCTCTCACCCGCTCATTTTCGCTCTCTCATTTTTTCTCACATTCCCTTGTTCTCTTGTGTTGTTTGTTCTCGTGTTTTCTCTCTTTCTCTAGTTCTGTCGCCGACTCTCTCCTTCTATCTCGCTCTCTCTCGCCCTCTCTCATTTTCACTCTCCCATTCTCTCTTGTTCTCTCTTTCTCCTTCTCTCTCTCTCTCTCTTACTTTCTCCCTGTCTCCCTCTCCCTTCTTTCCCTCTCTCCCCTCCTTCCCACTCTCCCCTCCCTATCTTCCCACTCTCCCCTCCCTATCTTCCCTCTCTCCCTTTCTTTCTCTTCCCCTTCTACACTTGCTTAAAGCCAATGAAAGCCAATCCTAATTTTTGGCAATAGGCTTCATTATTAAAAACAAGATTAATCATTAATTTCCAGTTTTATTTAATTAAATTAATATAGAAACTGGAATGGGCAAGTCATACTTAAACTGTTCATCACATAAAAATCTTAGTAAATCATTCACTGGGACTTGAATGAATAACAAATAATAATAATAATGATGAGAATTTTTAGGAACCGTGATAAAGGTTCGAACCAATGCTCCGAGTGTTCCCAAGCACATGCCTGTGACAACTAGGCCATGACATGGTTAAAAGGATTGCAACCTGGGGTTCTACTGAACCCATGAAGGTTCCTTCGATTTCCACTGAAGTTGAACCAGGGATTTCATGAAACCTCCCCCCCCCCCATGCATTTTGGCTCTGTTGTCCAGGAATTTACCTCTGATGCTTCCTCTTTCAATTACTAGAATTCTTACATGACAGGAATTCGTCCAGTAGAATTCCTGGGCAACAGAGCCAGAATGCATGTGGGGGGGGGGGGGGAGGATTGTGTGAAACCCTGGTTCGGCTTCAGTGGAAACCTCGGGATCCCTCGTTAGTTCAGTAGAAGCCCAGGTTGCAATTCTTTTGACCATGTCGTAGCCTAGTTTTAGGCGTAGGCTTGGAAATACCCAGAGCATAGGTTCGAATCCTCATTACGCCCCTCTACGGATTTTCTCATTGAAACATCATTTTACTGTGATTTCTGTGTAATTATATATTATCTATACACAAGAAGGTACATTGGGTTGAGAAAGCACATACATTAGGGGAGTAACATTCTTGCAAAGCCATTAACATGCATAGCGTTTTGTGCAGGACCTTAAGCTAAACAATAAGGCAACAGAATGTGAGTTCAACATAATAACTACATTACAAATTGATAGGAAAGATTATATCTATGAAGTTGAATGCCTTAAATTCTAAATTGGGTGAATGGGTAGCACAAGGTGGGGAAACTTATGAGGATGAAATTAGGTACTTTTTGGTTTTACTTTTGAATAAAGGATAGGTCGGACAATTTTTTAATTCATTATAGAATGAGTTCCAAAGACTGGGTCCTTTTACTTGCATGGAGTGTTTGCACAAATTTAGTTTGACAGAGATCAGAGATTTATTTCAGGTGTGTGGTGCTCATAAGTTCTGTTACATCTCTTAAGAAAAGTTTCAAATCAGGATTAGAATCCATGAATAAGAATTTGTGAGTGTAAATAACACACGAGAATGTGTGGAGTGAGTGTATGTTTAGCATGTTTAGGGATGTAAACAGAGGGGGGGGGGGGGCTGTGTGTTGTCTGAAGAAAGAGTTTATCATAGTCCTGATAACAGATATTTTTGCTGGGTGATAGTGGGCTTGAGGCAGTTTGCAGTGGTTGAACGCCATGCACAGGTACCGTATGTTAGATAGGGATAGATTGGCGAGTAGCATAGTGCGAGAAGAGAATTTTCTTTTCATGTCCATTTCATTTGTCCATACTTCTCTCTGCTTCAATGATCCATACTTGTCTGCTTCAATGATCCATACTTGTCTGTTTCCATGATAACACTTGTCTGTTTCAAAGCTACATACTTGTCTGCTTCAGTGATCCATACCTGTCTGTTTCAACGGTCCATACCTGTCTGTTTCAACGGTCCATACCTGTCTGTTTTAACGGTCCATACCTGTCTGTTTCAATTAGTTTTCCCTGTCAGTAATCTGTACAGTTGGTATGTATGTAGGAAATACATTATATATACCAGTATGAAATGCAAACATTTATTGTTCAGTGTGTTTAATGAAGTTGCCTAATGCACGTGTATTTTTATTTTACTGAAATTGTAACTAAAATTGCAATGCAGTATGTGTATGAGTTACAAGTGTTTGAGTGTGAATGCAGCACACGTAACAATAATTCTTATTGCGCAAGTTTATGGCTGAAAATGTAAATACTGTACTGTATATGTACAGCATTATTATTATTATTATTATTATTATTGTGTACAACTTGATTATAGTAATTTGGTGTCCTTGCTTTTGCAAGAACTTGAACGATTAGAGGACATTTGGGTACGAGTCTTTGTAAACTACACATTCCAGGAAACTCTAACTAGAAAAGATCATCAGGGCAAATGTGGGGGGACCTTTGATAAGCCGCTGGCTTCCTGTCCTCGTCGAAGCCACTAGTATTAGTGGCCCTCAGGTAAATTTGGGTAAAATTTACCCTGTGGCTCCCAAAATCGACACTTGCCCAACACCAAATGGCTCTTCTAGTGTTGAAAGAGACATTTGTCTGAAGTAATATAAAAATTGATCTGTATGCTGTGAGTGTAGACAATCATCTCATGACCTTGGAAATTGGATTTAAGCATCCTGGTACATGCCATCACCTGGCGGTAACAACCAAATACAGTACTGTACTGCTCTTTGGTTGTATATTGTATATATAAGGAATATATATTGTATATATATTGTATATATAAGGAGTGTATTGTATACCACAATGCACTCCTTCACTATTACACTATACAGTACTGTACTTGTAATATTTACAAAATTTAGTATAGTTTCTATTTAAGTTATTGTGTCTAATTGAGCATCATAATTAAGGGTCCCAGTAGTGCAGTTGGGTTCATTCTTGACTCTCGGTTGAAACGTTCAAGTTCGAATCCCAGGGAGAAGGTGGGGGACAGAAATGGTTGGGCACATTTCCTATCACCTAATGACCCTGTCCACCTGAATATAATTCGTAGTGTCCTGGAAGTACAGTCGGGTTCGTTCTCGATGCACAATTGAGAATTCCGGGTTCAAATCCCAGGCAGGACAGAAATGGTTGAGCACATTTCCTTTCACCTAATGCCTCTGGTCACCTAGCAGTGAGTAGGTAGTCAGGAGATAGTCAGCTTTTTGTGGGGTTGCATTCTGGGCGGGGTCAGTAATTCGGCCTTGGGGAGGGAGGGGGGTTCTCGATAATACAGTAGCCAAAACATGTATGAATACACTCCGACTTCCTGTTCTTCGATAAAATGGATTCATAAATTATAATTGCAGTATAACATGCTTTTTATAAAATCTAGTTATACTGTATATAAAACTATGCAAACTATCTTCAATATGCTAACTTTATACTATTTTTCTTGGAGGGTGTTGATCTGGGAAAATTTCTTCAGGTCAGATGTAACACAAACGAGGAGCAACGGTTTCAAACTGAACAAGCCACAGTGTAGGACTGAGAACAGGAGATGCTTTTTCACCCACAGGGTTATTAACCCATGGAATTGCCTACCCGCCAAAGCTGTAAATGCCAAAACTCTGCTAACTTTTAAAGTACAGCTGGAAAAGATTAAGGCAAATGGGGGGAGGGGGCCTTTGACAAGCGGTTGGCTTCCTGTCCTCGTCGAGGCCACTAGTGTTAGTGGCTCTCGGGTAAACTCTTGTGTGATATTTGAACACCTTTTGAATATCCCACAACACAGATGGTGCTACACAAGTCTTCCTGGCTTGGTGCCTTCGTTTGATAATTACTCACTGTTTTAAAGCTGAGTGGGGTTAGCATTCCTTGGGCCTTGGTTGTCTTGCATTCCATGCTTAGCATTTTATATGCTTCACTGTTGTGTTCATGATCATCTTCCATATCCTTAGCTTATAGTTTGCCACCGACTTTGTTTCATGATTATCCTCTCTGGCATTGGCTCGTGTTTCTCACTTCTTCACCGGAGTTATCTCTTCTGAGAGGTTCAAGTGTCCTCCTTTCTGGGGCTTCTCTTGATGGGAGTTGATTACATTCACTGTGTACATAAAAAGTAAAAAAGTCAAAAAAATATTTATGCTTGGTTATGTTGAGTCTATATTAGGCCCCTGCTTACTTACAGAATGCCATTTGGGCAATGGATAAGGGGACTATTAATTTATTTACATGGTGCCTTACATCTTTCTTTTTTTGTACTTTCCAAACTTTGGTGTTAAGGGTAGGCCTCACTACCTTTGCGTCTCGTGTTTTTGCTCATTTATTAATACAGTTGTAAGGATCTTTAGTTCCCATTGGGTTATGTGGCTTGTTTGCCTTATATTTTCTGTTTTAATTGTATGTGCAGTACTTGGAACAAGTTTATATGCAGTATAGGAGTACATATATCATTATATGTATCATTTCAATCGAAGAATTCCGGGTTCGAATCCCGGGCGGGAAAGAAATGGTTGGGCACATTTCCTTTCACGAAATGCCTCTGTTCACCTAGCAGTGAGTACGTACTCGGGAGTTAGTCAGCTTGTTGTGGGGTTGCATCCTGGGTGGGTCAGTAAATTTACCTGGGGGGGGGGGAACCTTGATAAAAGCCAAACGTGTATGAATATGCTGGCTTCTAGTCCCCCTGACATAGTGAATTAAGCATGTTCATATAATTCTGTATTCCATCTGGTAGATCACTTATGTAGACAATGAACATTACTGGTACAAGAACTGAACCCTGTAGTACTTCACTCGTGACATTTCTCCAGTTCGATACTGTACGTTGTTTCTGATTACTGCCCTCATTTTTCTGTCAGAAAATTATTCATCCATTTTTAGAAGCTTCCCTGTCATTCCTTCGGTATGTTCCAGATTCCAGAACTACCTCTTGTGTGGAACTCTGTCAAAAGCCTTTTTTAGGTCCAAATGGATGCAGTCAACCCAACCATCTCTTTTATGCAAAATCTTTGAGCTCTATCATAGACACTGAGTAAATTCGTTACACAGGATCTTCAGATCGAAAACCATACTGTCTGTCTGTTATTATACAAGTTTTCTTCACGTGTTCTACCCACTTAGTCAAAATATTTGAAAAAAATAATTAAAACTATTACACTTGTCAATGATACAGGTCTATAATTGAGGGGGGGGGGGTGGTCTTCCCTACTGCCACTTTTGTAGATTGGAACTATGTTAGCCTTTTTCCACACATCTGCTAGGACACCTGTACACCTGGTGTGGGTACGTTTGCATGCTCATAGTAAATACTGTCCTTGTGGTGGTTAAAAATCAGGTCCTGGCATCACTTCCTATCAGTTGCCTTATTTGATATTGTCATAAATTTTGAATCCATGCATGATATTACTGTCCCCAAGGAGTGAAATGCTCCCCGTGAAATGGTAAGTGCAATATGTGTAGATGGTTGAAGTACACATGTCATGGACTTCAAAATCATCAAAACTTGAGAGATTAGTCCGAATTATTATTTACTCACGAATCATACAGCAAGGTGAGGCTAGTATTATTATTTACTCACGAATCATACAGTAAGGTGAGGCTAGTATTATTATTTACTCACGAATCATACAGCAAAGTGAGGCTAGTATTATTATTTACTCACAAATCATACAGCAAAGTGAGGCTAATATTATTATTTACTCACGAATCATACAACAAAGTGAGGCTAATATTATTTACTCATGAATCATACAGCAAAGTGAGGCTAGTATTATTACTTACTCACGAATCATACAGCAAGGTGAGGCTAACTAATTGGCCTGTTTTCTTGATTTACCACTTCGTAAAAAAAATAATAATCATTTTGCTTAACCAGAAACATATGAACCTAAGTCGCCTACCCGACTTATCGAGGCCGATATATAGAAAAAATAAATATTACGGTGCTTTAAATTTTACTAATACAGGTAGAGTATTTGCATTATTAACAGCTTGGGCGATTCTATTAAAAAATGCAATGCCGTAGGCGAGAGGATGAGTTGAATCATATGAAATTGAGTAATCAATAGATTTGATAATTGATAATGCCAATTTGGTATTGCCTACTAAATAATGTCTCATAATTTTGATGCCAAAGTTATGGCATCAGAATTATGAGTTACGCTTGTGGTGTCCCTTCTTCCCTGCATTGTGTCATGTGACGCTTTGAAACTGGTGATGCTTCATACTGATGAATCAGTATGTCAACATACTGATGATTTTGGCCTTCTCCACAGTCTCACATAACTTGTTTCAACTGTCTGCCATTCTCTTTACAAAAGTGAACTTTTGTGTGTGTGTGTGTGTGTGTGTGTGTAATTACCTAAGTGTAGTTATTGGATGAGAGCTACGCTCGGGGTGCCCCGTCTTCCCAGCACTCTTTGTCATATAATGCTTTGAAACTACAGTACTGACGGTTTTGGCCTCTACCACCTTCTCATTTAACTTGTAGCATGTGTGTGTGCATGTGTAAATTGTATTTTTTAATGTATAAATTCCCATCTTTATGTGCATGTTCATATTTCTATTGTGTTGAAAAGATATATGCCAATGACCTTAAATACTGTATACTGTATTGCATATATACCGTACAATATGTGTAATGTAGTTTAGGGATGGATATTATTATTAGAGAATGCTTCAGAGATATACACAAGCAGGGGGTAACATTAGAATGTTTATTTAGAAACGTAAACCACAGCTCTTTCAATCAGTCTACACATCCTTTGTTAGACCAATACTGGAATATGCAGTACAGTACCAACATGGAATCTGCACTGTGTGAAATATATAATGCCAAAATTGAAAAGGTACAGAAGTTTGCAATGAGATTAGTGCCAGAGCTAAGAGGGCTAAGCTATGAGGATAGGTTACACATACACATGCCCATTGTTACACATGCCCAGCACTACACATAGCCATCACTATGCATGCTGCCCAGTGCTACACATATCCATTAATAGGCATACCCATCGCTATGCATGCCCAGCATTACACACAGCCATCACTATGCATACCCATTGCTATACATGCCCATCACTACACATGCCCATCGCTATGCATGCCCCTTGCTATGCATGCACATTGCTACTCACAGTCATTGCTATGCATGCCCATCATTACACATACAGTAACATAATATACTGCATTTGTATATACAGTACTGTACTTACTTTCATTTATGATGGTTCAGAAAGTGTTTTCAAAGGGGAGGATGCTGAGCAGTGAGACTCGCATCCCTAGGTACTAAATACTCCAGCATACTCAGCACTGCAAGATATCCAGTGCTACAGCATATTCAGCACTACAAGGTATTCAGTGCTACAGCATACTCAGCACTACAAGGTATTCAGTGCTACAGCATACCTATCTACAAGATATCCAGTGCTACAGCATATTCAGCACTAAAATATCCAGTGCTACAGCATACTCAACACTACAAGGTATTCAGTGCTACAGCATACTCAGCACTACAAGGTATTCAGTGCTACAGCATACTCAGCACTACAAGATATCCAGTGCTACAGCATATTCAGCACTAAAATATTCAGTGCTACAGCATACTCAGCACTACAAGGTATTCAGTGCTGCAGCAAACTCAACACTACAACTTATCATACATGATACATTCGCATCAAATACAACAGCTCCCATTATTGACATCTGACCCTCACTGTGCTTCAAATGCAGTTCTATAGCATGTTATACTAAAGCATTCTCAATGCTGTATCATTGTATCGGTATTCCAATGGACAATAGTAAAATATTGCACGCTCCCAGGGGGGATTGCACGCTCCCAGGGGAGATTGTACGCTCCCAGGGGAGATTGTACGCTCCCAGGGGAGATTGCATGCTCCCAGGGGAGATTGCACGCTCCCAGGGGAGATTGCACGCTCCCAGGGGAGATTGTACGCTCCCAGGGGAGATTGCATGCTCCCAGGAGAGATTGCACGCTCCCAGGGGAGATTGCACGCTCCCAGGGGAGATTGCACGCTCCCAGGGGAGATTGCACGCTCCCAGGGGGGATTGCACGCTCCCAGGGGGGATTGCACACTCCCAGGGGGGATTGCACACTCCCAGGGGATATTGCATGCTCCCAGGGGAGATTGCACGCTCCCAGGGGGGATTGCACGCTCCCGGGGGGATTGCACGCTCCCAGGGGAGATTGCACGCTCCCAGGGGAGATTGCACGCTCCCAGGGGAGATTGCACGCTCCCAGGGGAGATTGCATGCTCGCAGGGGGGATTGCACGCTCCCGGGGGGATTGCACGCTCCCAGGGGGGATTGCACGTTCCCAGGGGGGATTGCACGCTCCCAGGGGGGATTGCACGCTCCCAGGGGGGATTGCACGCTCCCAGGGGGGATTGCACGCTCCCAGGGGGGATTGCACGCTCCCAGGGGGGATTGCATGCTCCCTGGGGGACTGCACGCTTCCTGGGGGACTGCACGCTTCCTGGGGGGACTGCACGCTTCCAGAGGGATGACACACTCCCAGCACATTCTCCTAGTATGGCAATTTTCATCCAGTACAGTATCTTAGATTTCTTCCAATATAAGAGCATGTTCCCAATATGACAGCATACTAAAAATATTTCAGCATATGTACAATGATACAGTATTCACTCCTACAGTGTATTCACAATATTACAGCATAGTGCTGTAATTTACTCATAACTACATACAGTACTATATCATACCAGTAATATTCCAGCAGAAAAATAATACTGACAATAATATCAGTATTATATCATACTCAAAATTGTATAGCATACTCAATATGAAAGAATGCTTGGAAATCAAAATGTTGGTTCTTCCAGGATGAGTTCGAGTCAATGTGTGTTGGGCATTGACATTGGTACAACTTCGGTCAAGTGTTGCCTGGTCGATGTCATGTCCAAGGAAGTTCTCTCTAGTCAGAAAAAGGACACATACTCTGACGTACCCAGTGAACTTGGTAATTATGGCTTCCACCCTTATTTGATTGTTTTCTGTTAGCGATGACTAGTTTATTGTGCACCCATACTCATCCTGTGAACAGCAGTGTATTGTGCACCATACTCATCCTGTAAGCAGTAGTTTATTATTCACAAACTCACCGTGTGAGCCGTAGTGTATTGTGCACCCATACTCATCCTGTGAGTAGTAGTGTATTGTGCACCCCATACTCATCCTGTGAGCAGTAGTGTATTGTGCACCCCATACTCATCCTGTGAGTAGTAGTGTATTGTGCACCCCATACTCATCCTGTGAGCAGTAGTGTATTGTGCACCCCATACTCATCCTGTGAGCAGTAGTGTATTGTGCACCCATACTCACCATATGAATACTAAGAAAGCATTACAGAGAGCACTAAATATCTTTAACCCCTCAACTGTGCCAGCCAACAAATGTCGTTTTGAGAGTTTTTTTTTTTTTTAATTGGGCGATATTTTAATGTTTTTAATTTTTTCATTACTTTTTGTTTTGAAATGAAAATGGTTTAGTTTGGAAACATTTTGACATTTAACTTTACCTGGACATTTATAAAAACAACAAAAATATGTACTTAACAATTGCACTTTGAAGTTTTTGCTAAAAACAGGTGCGCAGTGCAGGGGTTAATCAGACCTCGGTAGATAATTTACATTATCATTTACAATTTCTCTGCCTACCTGATGATTATAAAGATAGTGACAACCTTCTTGTACTACAACTTGTGTGAATTACAATATATTATTTTATTTTGTACATTGCAGATATGCCATTTTGTTAATACAAAAAATTATTAAATTTAGGTATTATGGGGTAATAAAGTTGCTTTTCCTGATTACATGGCTTATACTTTCATCATATATATATATTTTTTATATCCCAGAACCAAAATATGAATACAGTACGGTACAAGAATTTCAGATATTTCATCATGTATAATACTGTATAATCATTTGCTATTTAATACAACATATGTTTAAATTTATTTATAAATGGCAAAATTATTTACATGGTATAAAATGCAATGATCTAATGTGTATCTGTGTCCACATACTCAACTTTGTCATCTAGACCCTATACAGGCCTAGTCAAGCTGTGACAACATGTCAGTCTGCTGATTGTGTTGCTTGCCATGTATAAGGGTTTTGTCCGACATGTAAGTCTGCCGATTGTGTTGCTTGCCCTGTATAAGGGTTTTGTCAGACATGTCAGTCTGCTGATTGTGTTACTTGCCCTGTATAAGGGTTTTGTCCGACATGTCAGTCTGCCGATTGTGTTACTTGCCCTGTATAAGGGTTTTGTCCGACATGTCAGTCTGCTGATTGTGTTACTTGCCCTGTATAAGGGTTTTGTCTGACATGTTTCATTGTGATAACCGATGGATCTGCCAGTTTCTGTGTGCACTCTTGTTGTGTTCGTCGTGGTGACCCTAATGAGAGGATGTGCTGTGGTTGATGGAGTTTTACTTTCTTGCACACAGGTTTGTTATAGTGGCAAGTTGAACAGTTAGGGGGGAGGCGAAGAGGTTATATAGTGGAAGAAGTGAAGAGATTATATAGTGCAGGAGGTGAAGAGGTTATTCAAGTTCAAGTATATTTATTGAGACAGGAAAGAAATACATCTCAAAAGGATAGAGTATAAGCGGTTATATAGTGGAGGAGGTGTAGTATTCTGTAAGTAGAGTTGTAGACAGATGGAATAAATAAGAGCGTAGTGAATGCCAAAACACAGTAGAAGCTTCAAAATGTCATGTAACACATTACAAGGAAAATGGGACGCCATGATCGTACCTCTAATACCGATTATACATTATATATATATTCACATTTGTGTCTGTTAACACTTTTCCCTTCTCTCACTTTCCCCCATCACCGGCCAGCACACCCACCAACCCACTCCATGGACTCATGCACAACATTAGTTGAATTAGAGTATGTGGATATGTATGTATGTGGTCCAATATGTAGGATTGTCATTGTTGTACAACCTGTGTTCTGATATTCTTGAGTATAAGGCAGCATTAAACCACCTTGTTGACAAAAGGAAATCATGTGACTCGGACTGCCTCAAACCTAATGCTAGAGTATGATGAATAATATAAGAGGATTAACAATGTTCTTCTCAATTACGGGTAGTGCCTTTGGTTATCGTTATTTTGTAAACATAAGCTACACATGTTTCTGCTAGCAAAGGGCCTTCATGAACGGGTGATTTAGTCTTGCTGGCGAGATATCAACCCTGCGGTGGCTGGATGCCTGCCATGTATCAGTATTGGCCTCCAATGTACTGTATTTTAATTTTGGGTTAATGGTTAATGCTGTATTGTATATCTATATGTATAGCATCTACATATCAAATTCTGGTGTCATGTTATTGATCAACACTTTTAAGTCATATCTTAGGTTTTTCCAACAATGTAATATTGTTTAATTCTACTAAGAGAAAATATCAAGAGCAGGTAGCTGGTATCTGCTACCTGAACCCCTAAACATATATATTGGTATATTATAACAAAGTTCTATAACAGGCACAGAGGGCAACAAACAGGATGTCCCACGCATCCTCTCTGCATTACAAATGTGTGTCTCACGTCTGCCGAGAGAGGGGATGAGGAAGGTGACAAAGATCGGTGTGTGTGGACAGATGCACGGCTGTATGCTCTGGAAGCAAGGTGAAGCTTGGGAACAAAAGCCAGAGTCAGACAGGTAAGTTGAATTTAAATGTTGATAGATAGGGAAATCCTTGATGAATTCTTGCTAAAAAAAAAAAAAAATTGGATATTGGTTTTAATATACCTTTTCTGAGTTAGTCCCCCCTTGGCTGCTCATTAGATTGAAACCATTATGATCCACTCTTGGCTCATCTCAGGGTTTGCTATATAGGTTGAACTACTGACCCTCCCTAGGATTAAACCCCCACAACAGTCAACTAACTCCCGGGTGCCTGTTTACTGCTCGGTGAACAGAGGCATTTGGCGAAAGGGAACATTTGGTGAAGGGAACCATTTCTGTTCAATACCAAGGCATAGGAAGATAGGAAGAGAGGCAGCTAAAGGGTTACATGAAGGAAAGGTAATGTCTACCCACATATATGGATGTGAGACATTAGTAAAGTTCGAATATGACCAAAAAAAATCAAGAATTATAGCTGTAATAATTGATATTGTTGTGAAAAGATGTGGAGTACAAGAGTTTATCAAGATTCTATTATATTGAATGATTGAACAATAATAAATGGTTAAAAAAAAGTGTATTTTGAGTTCGTTTTAAGATAGGAGGAGGAGCAGAAGTCAAGAAGATGAACAGACACGATAAGTGTGTGTGAGGGAGCAGAGATTGAGCATGAAAAGGAATATTTAAAATGGTAGCAAATGAGACTAGATAGAATCAGATTGAGGGAATGCTTTGTAATTATTTAAATGACAACTTATTTGAATCACTTGACACCTGGTTGTATGTAGTGGTGGGATTCTGGTTTGGATGTGCAGCATTGCCAGTGTGCAATAGTGCGGTTCACCATAATGCATTATGTAATGTGGAAGATGTGGCAAATAAAGGGAGATATCTTCGTTCTTTTTGTATTTGTTTTATTTATTGGATTTATTTTCTTCTGAACTAATTACTCCTCACCCAATGGAAGTGGGAACAGGGTAGTGATAATGATAACTTCTGTGGTTCTATTTTGATGTTTTTCTATTGCATTTCAGATTTGCAATCAATCAAGTGAGTAATTTGTACACTTGGCAGGACAGTCGTTGCACTCAGGAGTTTTTGTCATCTCTTCCCGCACCAAAGGCCCATCAAGCAATATCATCTGGTTATGGTTGTGCAACTTTACTTTGGTTCACTATACACAAGCCAGATACATTTACGAGGTGAGCTGGAGGTCATAAGAAATATTCGGTGTACTGTATAAATACTTATTTACATTAATGTTGTACTGTAGCTTAAATACCAAGTGCATGTTATCAATAATTTTTGATATTCCAATGTTTTGTGAATCATATATTGATGTTGTGTGTAATGAGACATACAACCCATGCATCTGAAAATATAGGAAGCGGTGATGTTTTGTTTTGTCCCTTAACCATCATTATGACGACTTGGTGGTGGCCCAGGATGGACGGAAATGTCGTCACTTCCTTTATTTTCAAATGTGTGGGTTGGGTGTCTTAATTTTAAGCCATGTTATTGTGACTTACTGTCCACATACATGTAATGAGCCCTGTACCACAGATTCAACCGAGCGGGAACAATCCATGACTTCCTTGTGTGTATGTTGTGTGGACTAGACCATCCTATTATGTCTGTGCAGAATGCTTCGTCCTGGGGCTATCTCAATACTGTCACTAAGGTAGGCTCTTCCATGATGCATTCTCTGTGTACTAGAGCTGAATTACTGCAGTTATATATTTAACTGGTTATACTATAGTTGAACCAATAAAAAATCTGGAATGTTTAATTTTTATTTGTTTAGGATATTTTGTACCTAATATATTGTAGTTGGATGTGAGGCATGGTTCACCTTATTTCCTGTATTTAATGAGGAATGAGTTAACGTTATTTGGTAGTTGTGTTGATGGTTTTTACTTGTTAGTTTGCCTGGTATTCTGTACTCCTATGTTTCACTTCTTCCTTAAGCAGGAGCCCACTGTGTCCAGTGGGCTCCTGCCACAGTCTTGCTGTGATTGTAAGACTCCATACCAGTTTTGCTGTCAGGCAGGAGGATATATCCATTCACCTGGGCTCTAGGGGACGCGAACCGGGAACTCCATGCGTGTGAGGCCCAAGCTCTATCGACCGAGCTATTTATATACATATTGTATATAATGCAGTATACAGGATATACATACTGTATAACAAGTTTAACGAAATATGAGCATGGGGACATTAAGATGTTAAAGAAACAAGGCAAACAGATTTGAAGTTTTAGAGAAAAATGCAGGTTGAAAAGGTAAAAACAGTGTCAGAAAACAAAAGGGTGCCTGTGAACATGTGGTGCCAAGCATAAACACACTCAATATAGGGATCTAGAATAAACTGAAGAAAAATGGGAGCTAAAAGATAGTCTCCATGAATGAAAGTTGTCGACTAGTTGAGGTGGAGGTTCCTTTCTCTTCCATCTGGTACAATTATTGCTTCAGGTGTTATCCAGACTAGAGACATGCTGACAAGGTGATCCTTCTTGGTGGCCAAAGCCTTGGTCTCTGGATGGGTGTTAATTATTCTTTAATCTCCTCAGTTTTTGGTCACCCCTTTGGTTTATGATTCATTTTGAAGGCTTTGTTTTTGTTAGCCCTCGTTTTTGGTTGTTGGACTAGGGAACTTCGTGCTCCAGAAGTGTAAGTTTTCTTCTTTTTGCCCTAGTGAACAAGTTCTTTGTCTGGAGCCTTTTCCTTTTCTGGAATAAGAAAGTTGGCTATTGGAGGGATTCATTCGTTATTGATTCTTGGTTCATTAAGCCAAGGGTGCATCATGTGTTGTGGCCAGTTGCGACTGTCCATTACTACCTGTGCACAACATGGGTTGTTTTGAGGGATACTTTGTTGATCCAGTGTCCTTGGTCACTCGTTCTAAGGCTCGTTTGTCAATTCATCTGCAGTGTTATAAAATCTAGCCAGCCTGTGGTCTTCCCTCAGGCCCATGATGGTCAGAAGCTTGCAGCTCTAGTTGCTCTGGTGCTAAAACTTGGTGGTGGGCAGCTGAGAAGAGGGAGGAGGATATGACCTAAGTACTGGGTGGATCATTTGCTGCATTTTTGTTCTTTTGACCTTGTAGTTGTCTGTTTTGCTTCACTTACTTTCTGGGGATTTGATTCTTTGGTTAGTGATCATGAATCACCCTGCTAGCAGTGCCTCGTTGACTTGTGGTTTTGGTCTCTGATCTCAGTTAGGCATTTAATGACTCGCAAGTGCTGGTGTGACTTAAAGTATTTTACCTGAATTTACCTGAGGGCCACTAATGTTAGTGGCCTCAATGAGGACAGGAAGCTGGCAACTTGTCAAAGGTCCCCCTTTGATCTTTTCCAGCTGAATTTTAAAACCCAGCAGAGTTTTGACGTTTATGACTTTGGCGGGTAGGTGGTTTCACGGGTTTACAACCCTATAGGGGAAAAAGAATCCCCTCTTTTTTTTGTCCTACATTGTGGTTTATTGGGCTTGAACTCATTGCCCCTCATTTGTGTTACATCTAAGCTTTTGAAGAAATTGACCGGGTCAGCATCCTCTAAATTTTTCAGTATTTTAAAAGTTTCGATGAGGTCTGCCCTGCCGTGCCTAGTCTGCATTGTTAACCCTGTGGCCCTCAACTGTTCCTGATACGTGAGGCGACTAAGCTTTGGTATGATTTTTGATGGTTTTTGTTGCTCGGTGTTGCACCTTCTCCAGAGCAGCTATATCTTTCTGAAGATGGTCTCCATGCCTGGATGCAATAATCCAGGTGGGGGCACATCAGAGACTTGTACAGTTGAATGACTACTTTCTTTTCCTTGAAGGTAAAGGTATGGATGTATCTTAGTCTGGCTAGCAACAGAGAGCCACCAAGGCAAGAAAGAGATGCATTCATCACATTCACTGCTGTTCTTTTTTCTTTTACTGTTCTATTTGTCCACACAAATGCCTAATATATCTTGGTTCCAAAATTTAATTTGCACACGTACCTAAAAAATTTCAGTGACACCTACCATATGGTATGATATGCTTTGCTTCACCCAAGGGGAGCCGGTCGGCCGAGCGGACAGCACACTGGACTTGTGATCCTGTGGTCCTGGGTTCGATCCCGGGTGCCAGAGAGAAACAATGGGCAGAGTTTCTTTCACCCTATGCCCCTGTTACCTAGCAGTAAAATAGGTACCTGGGTGTTAGTCGGCTGTCACAGGCTGCTTCCTGGGATTGGAGGCCTGGTTGAGGACCGGGCCGCGGGGACACAAAAGCCCCGAAATCATCTCAGGATAACCTCAAGATAACCCACTTGTGAGTTGTGTGAGTTGAACAATCTGCATTATTTCATAATGCAGAAGTATTTTCAATTATTCATATTGCATCAGTATTAAAATACCATGTCTAGCATTAATACTATATGCCGAGAGAAAGTCTTCAGTAAGCTTTGCAAATTTATCCCAGTCTGTTTTGAGATGTTAAAGTACAAAAATAGTTGTTAAATGTCTGAAGAAGTTGATATGTGGATGTAGTCAATAAGTCCAGAAATGGGTCCGAACAAAAATCTTTAGCCAAAAATCATTCTTCAGGTCTTGTGTTTATTGTTATGCTATTATTGTAATACAAATAACTTACAACAGGAATGGAATTATGAAATACTAGAAGAGGCTGGACTTCCTCGTGACTTCCTCCCAAAGGTAGTGGACTCGGGGGAGGACGCTGGAGAACTGGTCAGTGCTTGGTATGGTATCCCAGCCGGCACCCCAGTCATTGCTTCACTTGGTAAGCAGATGCGCAGCTAATTAATATTGTAGTTGCTAGGAATTCTAGTTACAAAAAATGTAAAAGCATGGCATTAATGTCCCAGGATGAACTGTTACCAAGAATTTGTTACCTGAACCACTACATAACGTTTCACATACAATGACCTGGAGACACTTTGGTTTTTCTTGTGCAATCTGAATGCAGCTGGAGCACAATTTCCTACTATAATTACCGGTAATGGTTTTCAATCTCTGTGTTTGTATTGGGTGGTGGTTTTGATCAAAGGTACATAATCATTGTTGACTTTCCTATTATACTCTTTAAGTTTTGCTTATCACTGTTGCTTCAGTTTCTATTAAAAAATTTCCAACTTGTATTTGTTTGACGTTGGGTGGGTGTGAGAGAGAATTGCGACAGGGAGAGAGAGAATGAATAATTCCACTGCATTCCACTTCTTTCACAAATTGCAACCGAGAGTTAGGTGTGGAATAAGAGCTTGGTGTGGTCCCGTGCTTGGCTGGCATGCTTGACTTCCCTTGCTTGTTTCAGGCTCTGAAACAGCTGTACTGTATGTGATTTTCCCGAGTGAGAGTCTGTGCTCTTAGCAAAATAAACAGTCAGGGGAGACACCAGCCAAGTAGATAGCCAGGCACCTAGCGAGGGAACCAGACACTCTCCTGGATGGCTAGCGCTGCTGGCCGGAGAAGGAAGCAGTGCGGTGGTTTTCTTAACGTTTGTGAATAATTTGGCATTTATTTGTTTCAAACATTTGTTTTTGAGTGTTTTGAGTATTTATGACCTTCTTGCAACATTTTTGGCAGGGCAATTTGTGTGTGTGTAGTGTCTGACACTGTCAGCTGTCTCCCTGTGTGAGGGAGCAAGATTCTGGTCCTTGTCTTGGTAGACTATGAGACAATCTGAGATGTTTGGCGAGATATTGGTCCTGGGGTACCAGTGCTTACATTTATGGGAGTCGCTGAGCCTCCCCAGAAATGGAGTAGGACCTCTCCAAAAATACAGACATAAGCTAACTAAATAAATAATAAGCCCAAGAGCATAATTTATTGTAATGCCATTATTAATCCAGTTTATGTAGTTCACAAGACTGATTATAATTTTACAACAAACTGGCCAAGCTGAACTCCACTGGACATTCTGCCCACATCCCCTCTTCTCTTTGTCAAATGCTGCAGCAGTCGGTCCTCCACATCTCTGAACTACCATTTCACAATGCTATATTTTTGCATATCTAATGTTAATCTTTAGAAATAGATCAACTGATGTTATCATTTGGTTACAGGTGACCTTCAGTGCTCAGTCTTACCATTGCTAGCCAAGAATAGTGATGCTGTGATCAACATATCTACCTCAGCCCAGATGTGTTTCAAAATGCCTAAGGTAAGAATATAGTTTCAGAATGCTAATTTCAGCTATGGATGAGAATGCCTTAAGCATCGGAAAGTTGTGTGGCCTTTTGGCCATAGACGGATGGTCTGTTTTACCAAGAGGAACCTCTAGAGAACGTATAAATCCACGATACCAGTGACAAAATTGCAGAGCAATGTTTGGCAGCCTATTTAATTTTAAACATTGCTTCAAAATATTTCCGTGTGTAGAGGAACTTTGTACATTGTCATTCAGGATGAAATTTATTAAAAGTCTTGTGTCTTCCCCTGCTCTTCATCCTGGTATTGTCTGGCAGAGGCATTTGGAAAAGATACCTGCTGCATCAGGAGATGGAAAGTCACTGATTGAGGCTGGAGTTTTTAATGTCACAGGGAGTTGAACAGTGCCTAAATGAGTGACTGAGAAAATTGGCTCCAAAAAGCAGAATTTATCTACAATAAATGATTAATTTTCATCTTCACTCAGTAGGAAGATCTCATTGAAAATAAAAAAATTATCTTTGTTTATTTCAGTATTAATATTAATAGCATCAATGGATTAGTATTAATCCAATTTGTATATTATTTGTTACTCCAGATGTTATAATTACTGTTATTAATCATCTTCTCATCTCTTTTATGGTGGAACTCTAAAACAAATTCTAATCCTCTCCAATCCTGTCAGGGCTTTGTTCCAGACGAGGAGCCACCAGTAACCCCACAGCCCATAGAGTACTTTCCCTTCTTTGACAACTCGTACTTGGCTGTTGCCGCCTCACTAAATGGAGGAAATGCCTTGGCGGCATTTGTACGAACAGTCCAACAGTGGAGTCTTGACCTCGGCTTTCAAGTTCCTCAGTGTAAGTTTTTAACATACCATTTGTTGTTTTTTTAAGAGGGCTTCCTCAATAGTTTCCAGAGCTTAAGCACTTCTATAGCCTAGCCTGAGAAAATTGTACCAGGTTTCTTAACACCCCACCCTGACCTATTGGAAGCCAAAACCAGAATTTGGCTTGCTCAACAAGGCAAGGGGTAGCTTGGGGGATTGAAGATCTACTCAAAATCAACATAAAATCAACATAAAACCACCAGAAAAGTGAAGCACTACAAAACATGTAACTGGTTGGAGGGAAATAGTAACCCTGATGTAAACAAGGCAAATGATCACTTCCGTGGAAAACTCCCCTAACTGTGATGTGTCTGGCCACCACCAGATAGTTGCCCAAGTCACCATGGGTGTCATTCAGCCATGCATCTCGCTCACTTGCCTAGTTTATGTCTGGTATGCTCTTATGGGGCTGGTCAGCTGCTCAGCTTTTAGCTAAGAAGTGTTGGCCTTCCCTGGAACACTTCCCTTCCCAATGGCCCCTGTTCTGACAGGGGGCCATTGCTTTGTTTTGTTTCCTTTTAGCTTCATGGTTGTGTTTTGTGCCACCAACATTGCATGTTCCTAGTTTTGTATTTCACACCAATTGTATGCCAGGGTAATCCTCCTTGGTGAGTGGTTTGCATTTCCCTTGCCCAGTCAGAGACGCCTGCTCTGAGGTGGTTTTATTCCTCCTATTTTTGAGTTGGATCATCTTGAATCATTTCACTTCCACATAGTGCATAAGACTGCTCTTCACTGTGAGGCCTGTTGATCTGGCTCTGTATCCCATGTGCTTTTAGTCAAGGGTGTACTTGGGTCACATAGGTGACTATTCTTGTTTGTGGCTTCATATGCCTTCCCTCTCCAGGTGGATAGAGGTTAGGGTTTCGGTGTTGGGATTCTCCAAGACACTTTCCTTGCGCCTGGCATACCTGCTTGTCTGCATGTTCCTTGTCCCTGTGGAGTTTCTCTGTCTTATATGCATGGTTGTTCTTATTATTTTCCCTACTTATGATTCCATCCATGAGAGATTCACAGTTTTTCTAGGTGTGAATCTGTAATTTTCGATGCCTGAAAGACATTCCTGTTTCCTCCATCATTTGGCCTGGATTCAAAAGGCATTTCGCCCTCGTGTGTGCTGTGTTCTAGTGATGGACTTCAGTTTTGGCATAGCCGCCTTCTCAAGCCAATAACTATGCGGCTGTAGCCATGTTGTGTAACCAGGCTTTGTGCTGCACACTTTTACTGCCCCTATCAGGTGTGTGCTGCAGTGCTGCTAATCCCCCACGTTTTTTTGAGGAATTTTAAAATCATTTGATCTTGGACACTTGCACTACATTTATGCTGGCTTTCTGTGCTGTTTACTTTTGCAGTCAAACAACTGGTTCACCCTACTATAGTTCATCCAGGTTCCCAGCCCCTGTCATTCATTCTCAGTCCTAAATAACTTTGGGTTCTGGACTTGCCAGGGCCAACAGACTAGGGAACAGACCCTCCTTTATTAATTTGACCGAGGCATTGGAGCCTACTATTCATTCCTCGATTCTCTTGTTTCTTTGGGATGTGCTTTGGAATTCAGCTTTCTGGAGTTTGAAATCTTCCTTTGTTGATATCCTGTCTATTCCTCCTCCTAAGTCTCAGAGCTCCAGAACAGGATTCAGGCTTCATTCCTTCCTACAGCAGGTGAAGATCCCAGAGTTTTGGGGTTACCACAGAAGTCTATGATTGCCTTTTGACCCTGTGGAATTTGGTTACTGGTTCAAAGGGATTGTTCCATAAGGACGTGATCTATTCCATATTCCAGTATGACTTTGACACCATGTCTACTTTCCCCTGTGATTTTGTTTTTGAATGTCGGTTCGTGACCTGGATATTCCACACACTGCTTAGGTGACAATGTGTCTAAACAATACTCATACTTGTTTGAGTACAGATCCTTTTCTGGCTCCTGTTGCTGTATGAGATCCCAGCTTTGTCCTGGCTGGCAGATAATCCCTTGTTTTTTCTTAGAAGATTGGCAACATTTGTGTTGTATATAGGCACTTGAGTGAAAGGAAGGTACCCCCTTAATCAGGTCTTTCTTGTTGGGGGGGGGGTCTTTCTTTCCAGCAGTCAGTAGTACTCTGTTTACTCTTGCCATTTCCCATTAAGTAGGGGGATAGGCAGCACCATGTCCAGGTGCTCAAGTTGACTTTGGCATTAATAGCAGTAGACCATAAGGCTCACACTCATTTGGTGGAGGTTCTCCGTTGTTGAGCTGTGCAGCTACAAGTTCAACTCAGCTCTGCATTTGGGGATTCCTTGTCCTCTGCTTAGTCTGCTGTAGTTATGGATGATGTTTACAAGCTGCTCACTCCGCCCTGGTGAGAGGCACAGGCAGACGTATATGCAGTTCAACATGCTTACCGGCTGCCTGTTTTGGATTCTCTTCAGTAGTTTGCTTGGTTGCTCTCCTTGTTCTTCACTCCCCAAATTTTCTTCCCTAATTTTGTCTGGAGGGGAACAATTTCTATGGTTTTGATGATTGCAGATACTTCCTTTCAACCATTTAGTTAGGTATTTTGGTACCTGCTCAAGTGTCTACTTCTCTGCTCTATAACATTATTTGGATTTTTTTTTTTTTTTTTTGAGATATATATACAAGTTCTTACATTCTTGTACAGCCACTAGTACGCGTAGCATTTCGGGCAAGTTCTTAATCCTATGGTCCCTGGAATACGACCCCCCATGAAGGATCGTTTTTACAACTAAGTACCCATTTTACTGTTGAGTTAAACAGAGGCTACAGTTAAGGATTTGTGCCCAGTAAATCCTCCCCGGCCTGGATACGAACCCAGGACAAAGTGCTCGCGGAACGCCAGGGGAGTGTCTTACCACTACACCACCGAGTCTGCCGTGCCGTGGCTCTGCGTTAATGGACAAGTGTGCTTATTGTGAGACTGTCCTGCTTTTTCCTAGTCTCTAAGTGAGATACTCTGGAGCCTTGCTGTCCTCAATGGGTACATTATTTTTGTCACATTCCAGATGATTACCGTGTCCTAGGTTGTATAGAGGGATTCTTGGCATATTTGCCTGGATCTTTGGAATGCCTATTGGCACCTTATTCTCTATTCAGAGTTGAGGGATTAACTTGGGGGTTCAGAATAGGGCCACCTTTCATTTTCAGGCTCTGCTGTTTGGTCAGAATCTGGCTCCATGATTTTTCACTAGACTGACTTGTGTGATCCTTCAACATCTTTGTCTGTCTTCTGGGGATCCATGGTGTGGTTTTCCTTGTCTGGCTGGTTTGGCTTTAGTCACTCAGCATGTCTGCTGGCCAGGGATCTGGGGCGAGATTCACGAAGCAGTTAAGAAAGCACTTACGAACCTGTCCATCTTTTCTCAATCTTTGGCGGCTTTGTTTGTGATTATTAAATAGTTAATGAGATCCAAAGCACCAGGAGGTTGTTTTTAAAAATAACAAGTTGATTGGAACGTTTTTGTGTTTGTAAACTGTTTAATAAATGTAACCAAAGCCATCAAAGATTGAGGAAAGATGTACACATTCCTAAGTATTTGCGTAACTGCTTCATGAATCTGGGTCCTGGTTCTTACCCAGTTAGTCAGATTTGACTTTTTTGATCAGTTAGCGAAAGTCCCACTTGATGTGTTCTCGGGTTTTTATCTGTTAGGACTTGTCTATGATACCAGGACAGTCTCCTGCTGTTGGCCCTGTTGCAGGAATGTTCTTATTTCCTGCTGGTGCTGGAAAGGGTTAGGTTTTTCATTGGTGCCTTTAATGCCTTCTTGTGCCATGAACTTTGCATATGATTTACTGTTTAGGGCAGGTTTGGCTGTAGGCCCTTCTCCCTTTCCCCCCCAATAGGTATTTTTTCACTGCAGTAGAGTTAGTATGAAGTATGCCTTGTTTTGCCCAAGGTAAATGTTACTTCATCAATTTCCTCTTCAGCTTTGATGGGAGTTTAGTTTTACAATGCTCTTCTCCATCATTGCTCATGTTGTTAACAGATGCATTGGAGCTCAGCCGAGGCCTTCATCTCCAGCTCTGTAATTGCTGTGTATTGTTTACTTGTTTCAAGGTTTGACTTTCATGAAAATGAAACCATCAGTTTCAAAAGATGGTTCAGTTCAATGTTTATAAATTTCTTTGATAGCTTTCTTTACCAATATGTCCATTTCATATATCTATACTCAAGGCTTTTGAATGCTAAAAAAAAAAAAGTGTTGGCCTCAGTACTTAATGGATATGTCTTGACATGCCTGTGTGAAGCTTATGTGTGGCCCTCAGCTAATGCTTTCTTACCATCTTGTCCCCATTGGTAAGCCCTGTCTGCTTTTTCTGTCTGTGCTGATATTTAGTCTCAGAAAAGCCAGTCTCCTCTACTGTGACATTACTGTAAGTAAGCTTGGCGAGCCACTGACGGAACCCTCCCAGAAATCAAGCACTGAATGTAATGAAATGTCCGTTTCATGTGGGCCTCTTGGTAATGCCCTGTCCCTGCCCTGATCCCTTCTTCCTGGTGTTGTTGTTGTTGTTGTTTTAGATTTAGCTACTTGGAACGAAATGTCCAAGTAGCACGGGCTATGGTGAGCCTGTAGTGGACTTACCTGGCACAGGAGCGGGGCTGTAACTCTCTCTTCCTGGTGGTTTTGAGGTTCTGTTATGGCTGCTGCAGAGTGAGGTGGGTGGCTGACTGTGACCCCAGATGACCTATGTTGTTGTCTGGTGGTGGTCAACCATATCACAGTTACAGTAGTTCACTCTCAGCAACAGCTTTGTTTACATCAGGGTTAATATTTTCCCCTCGAGTAATCAATTATTTTCTTGAGGTTAACCTTTGTTTTTTCTTGGCTTTGGGGCTATCTGATCTCTAGGTTCCCATTTTTTTTCAGTGACCCAGATTCTTGTTATAGCTCCTCGTAGGTCAGAGAGGGTTCCCAAAGGCCCGGTGTAATTATCTAGGGTTGGAAATACCAGTGCTTAAAACTCCAGGAACTACTGAGAGACCCAGCAGGAAAGAGCATTTCACTACATTCAATACTATTTTACTCTTATAACTCCCTACCTTGGGTGGGAGGCCACATCAGTCTTTACCAAGCCTTTTAGTTCAGCTTTCTCATTCCAGCTAAAATCTGGCAGAGGATTCTCGATCTGGGTGGAGACCCCCAGAATAAGTCGTCTTTGGAGATTAAGCCTTTAATATTTGGAGAACGTCACACCCCACAAGTTAATGCATCTGTAACCAACATCGACTTGGGAAACGTATCGCTGGGAAAAGTTACTCGGTCACTGTGCAAGGGAATCATAACAAACATACACAGGTGAGATAAAAATGCTTACATATATGTAAGCAAACTTCTTTATAAAGAAGTCTTGGCATATTTAGATTAAGACTACAGAAAGGTTCTATGTAATATATCAAAGTCCTCAGGTGGAAGCTATACACATTACCATATATCTGCGTATCTTTGCCGCATTTACAATTACATTAATGAGCTTAATGGCATTGTTCATCCACTTTATGAATTGATATGTTGTGTATGACGTGATGAAAAACAAGTGTGACAGTCTCATAATTAGGTATCCATCCAATGTATACTGTACAACTTATACATAATTAAACAAAATTAGTGTGTTATAATTGAAGAATATGGCTTCACAGTTCTGCTCAAAATTTTTAAAACATTTGTATGGTAATGTAAGAAACATTCGTATTGAAATTAAGCCATGTAGCCCTCTAGTGACAGGTATTAAAACCATTCTAAAAATAATTGGGTTAAGTACTGATCTTGAATGCTATCTTAAAAAAATAGTTCAATATAATGAAAGCACCCTTCCTGGAGACCCTTTGGTGGCTCCTCAGTGCTTATGCACTGAGGAGCCAGATCCAAATCAGACATTCCTCTCTGGTAGCAGGTACTGTACTAGGATCCTGCCCTCTGAGAGATGGGAGAGCTAAGGAAGTCATAATACTCCACACATACACTGAGGAAACTGCTAAAGTGGCTGAAAAGTGGTTACAAAAACTCAAAATGTTTGGAGAGAAATGTTTGGTATAAACAAATACCAAACATTTTAATTTTTTCTTGACTCTTTGTGGATCATCCATTAATGCCCAATAATATCACCTCTTACCTTTCGGCCTTTGCAGAGCCTCTCTGGTTGGCATTTAAGGTGGATTTGTGGTCCTACCGTAACATCTGCCATTTTTTAATCTCTGCTGGCTAATTTTCCTTTTGAACCTTTGTCATCTGTGATGTAATATATTTGAGCTTGTGGTTTCTGGTGCTCTAATAGTGCTTGCTATTTAATTCTTGGTCACTGTCTCTGGGCAGTGCTGGGCTTACAGGGACCAACCAGAGAGAGGAATTTCATTGCATTTAATGCTAGATTTTTGTTTGTTTTCATGCATTTGAAATATTAATTGATATTATATTTATACAGCATGATGCCACACAGCATTCTTGTGGAAAATGGCATTACAAGAATCATCGGGGGTGGGTCGGCCCTTGCACGGAATCCTATACTACTACAAGAACTAGAAGAGGCATATAATCTCCCTGTCTCACTAGATTCAAGAGGAGATGCTGCTTATGGATCAGCTTTGGCAGCTATTAATTTCAAGCTGGATCGAGAGCATTGCCTTCACGACAATTTCAAGTAATGGTAAGGCCCATGTTTATTACAGTATTCTAAATTATGGTGTGTTAGCCCCTCGGCTGCGAACCTGTTTACATGGTGCAACACCCATGTGTGTATAAACTGCATGAGCACCCAATTATCATGCTGCAGCATGAGCAGCGGTGGTGTTAGCTCATGCTGCATGCTCTGGCCTTGGTTGCTCATTCAGTACTGATGCTCTCACACCCAGGAATGATGTCCACAATTTTTTATTTCAAAATGGTGTCTATTTACTGGAGGCCTGAGAAAGCCGATGTGAACCCCATGTAACCGCAGGAGTTTTAAAATCTTATGCTACATTTTAATATTACGGTTCGTTCTCGTGAGCGTTCTCAACATCAAGAAACTGTCGAAATACAGTACTCTAGTGTAACCAACCAGAGAACCCACTAACAGAAAATGGGACATTGTCAGTTTTGGGAGCTGCTATCATTTTCATGTACATCAATTATTGGCCTTGGGTAGAGTGTCAAAATGTGACAATCTTCTTGAGGTTATCTTGAGACGATTTCGGGGCTTTAGTGTTCCCGCAGCCCGGTCCTCGACCAGGCCTCCACCCCCAGGAAGCAGCCTGTGACAGCCGACTAACACCCAGGTACCTATTTTACTGCTAGGTAACAGGGGCATAGGGTGAAAGAAACTCTGCCCATTGTTTCTCGCCGGCGCCCGGGATCGAACCTGGGACCACAGGATCACAAGTCCAGCGTGCTGTCCGCTCGGCCGACCAGCTATCCCTCTTGGTTTGGATAATCTAGGATGTAAAATCACCACAATACTAAAGGAAAGATCATCTGAAAGGTAGAATGCATCAAAATATGAAACTGCTTGGACAATATTTGCAACCCTGATGCGAGTTATATACAGGCTCATCGTCTAGGTTCAGCCGTTAACACCACATGCTCGACACCAGACGGCAGGAGACATTTGTTTAATCACTCGTCTGGTCTGTAACAGGTGGCGTTTTATCTACCTGTCACTGCTGAAGCAAGTGTTATTCCACCCACCTGTAATTTCTGGCCAGGTATCTTGGGTTTAGGTTGATCTGCAATTGCCATGCTTTACCTTGCCTTGGTGAGAGCCAGAGTTTGGTCCTAGTTCTCAGTAGGGGGTTTGTGTGTGTATGGGAGGCTCTATAGTACTGCCGAGGAAACACGCACACTGACATTTCATTATATTCAAGGCAATATATTTATCACCACGCTTCAGTGTATAGTGAGCCCATTTTGCTGTGGGTAATTTTTATATTTAAATTTTTTAACTCTCAGTCTAACAGCAATATTTTTTAGCAAATGTTTTTTGTAATATCAAGAGTAATTTACTAATGGTTATTTTGTGTACTTTCCTCAGAGGCCTTATGCTGGTGTTGCCTCTTGCTAGGGCAGGGACGAGGTACAGCGTCAAGAAACCCATAGATCAGGATCCTACTTAGTAAGCAAAGTTTGATCTTCAGATAGCTACCTAACTTAGCAGGATGTTTTCTTGAGATATATTCTGTAATGGTGATATTCTCTTTTCATTGTAACATGTTGGAGAATGTTCATTCAATACATCATCAATTTGAATACAGTAATTTGAAGCATCATGAATTGTACATATAAACACCATGGTCAGTAATAGAAATTTAGACTCATTCTATTTAGTATTAAAAATTCTGATTTGGGTGTTTAATTCTTTAATTTAATTACTGTAGTGTTAAATGTAACGAAATTCTCTTTCTCTGGATAGCCTTAATATCCCCCTGGAGCATTGGCTTATTATACCAGAGATCTCTACACTGCTATGTGGCCCCTAGACTTATGCAAGCCAACTAAACTCCAGGCTGAAAGAGACAAGAGGAGTATGGGAATCCAAGATCAACCAAGAACAGAATAAAACCACCTAGAATGTAATGGTGAATTGAAGTAATGCATGTGACAGCTTGCCGACCACATGGTTGCATCCTGTTTCACATGAGGGTTCAGCTAGCCCACATCCTTAGTTGAGTGCCATCACCCCAAGATGCACCCAATCCCCACAGAGCTACTAAGGCTGCCCCGCAAGGAAAGTTCCATTATATTCACCACTTGAGCTCTGGGCAGGCCTATCATACATTTTCTGGCGCATACTCCCAACAGTGCCTCTTGAGAGTAAGACCAGCTTTGCTGAAAAGAAACAAACAGAATAACAAACAAGAAGCGGCTTATGCATGAGAAAAGAAAACTGATTTCTTCAGACTGGAAAATTGTCCAGTTGGCACACAGGCCTGGTAGCACCCAACACTCGGTGAGTGTGCCAGAAAACCTTAGCCTGAATATTAGTTGTAGATATATTAGCAATGGTAGGAATAGCATACAGTACTTATGCATATCTTGTGTATGTGAATACACATCAGGCTGGTTGGATCAAACCACCCAACATAATTTAGGAAAACCAGGCCTTTGTATCAGCAGTACCCGCAGTCCCCGTGGCGTAGTGGCAAGACGCTCACCTGGCGTTTTGCAAGCGCTTTGTCATGGGTTCGTATCCTGGCTGGGAAGGATTTACTGAGCACCAATCCTTAACTGTAGCCTCTGTTTACTCAACAGTAAAATGGGTACCGGGTTGTTAAACGATTTGGCGACTTGTATTCCGGGGAATATTGGATTAAGGACTTGCCCGAAATGCTATGCGTGCTAGTGGCTGCACAAGAATGTAAGAACTCCTGTATATTTAAAATAAAAAAAAAATTCAAGGCACTAAGGAAATGGGTAGTATATCCATTTCCTTGGTGAAATGAAAGAAATTTCATTTCGTAGAAAGCCGCCTTGACAAAAGACTCCAGCAGGTATCCGGCACATGAATAACTCTGCTATGCAGCAACAGAACAAAGGCCCTAATGTTCTCCCGGTCAAATTAACCAAGTGTCCACTACCAGAGAACATCAACAAGATGCAGAGGATGCATTCTTAGCCCAGACAAAGAATATTGGAGACAGAAAGGGATTCCAAGGACAAAAGAACACAAGAGTCGGCAGCCAGAGTCAACATGAAAGCCGCCTTGACAAAGGAATCCTCAGCTGAGGAAGACACAAAAAATCGAGATAAGAAAGAACCTGATCCTAGGACTTAAGTAGGCTGGCTGGATGTAAAAATAATGTCTCTGGTAATTTAAGGCAAAGGGGAAGAAAAACATTTATCCCAGAAGCAAGCAAGAGAGGCTTTGCCAAGGCCAGATGGTGGGAGGCAGCAGTATTGGGCATGATATAGTGCTCAATAATGCTGCAGGAGAGGAAGTGCATGATAACTGGCACAGAAACAGAGGACAGTTGGTGAAGAGAAAGTCTGAAGGACTGCCAAGCTACCTCATACTAGCACTGGGAAGAAGGATAGAAATGTGACACAGAGCCAATACCCAATCAAAAGGTGTAGTACAATTGACTAGAAAGTTCAAGACACAATGATTGGTGGATAGCCTTTGACTATTGAGTTAAGTCTAACTGCCAATTGTCTGGGAGAGGCAGAGTCCTAGGAGTGTAAGAGGATATGGATAAAAAGTGAGAAGGGCTGGAAGCCATGGCTGAATTGGCCATGTATGATCCAGCAGAATGATGCAGTCTGCAAATTTCTCTGATCAGATCAAGATGGTGAGGAACAGAGATACAGTGGTACCTCGAGTGACGAGGGCCTCAATCTACAAACATTTCGAATAACGAGTGTGCCACTCGGCAAACATTCGTCTCGATTGACGAGCTTTCGCTTGATTAACAAGAAAAGCACATGGTGCTTCCTAGCATTCCCGCTGGTTCTCGCAAATTCTCGGACACCTTCGTTGTAAATAACGATGCAAATAACCGTTTTTTTTTTTTTTTTTTTTTTTTTTTAAAGATGCTAATGATGCTGGGATGTAAAAGGGTGGCTGCTATAATGTTGCAAAGCATTGATTTTTATTTTTTAGACAAAATTATAAAAAAAATTGAAAACATTTGAAAAAAGATCACATGTCAAAAAGGTTCATTCAGTGAATGTCCGGTAGGCTGCTCCATTGTTTAAAAAATTGAATATCATATTGATGTTTTTTGGTGGTGGAACGGATTAATTTTATTTCCATTATTTTAAATGGGGAAATTTGGTTTGAAAGACGAGCATTTCACATGATGAGCTCTGTGCCGAAACGGATTAAATTCGTTAATCGAGGTTCCACTGTATAGGAAATACTAGTCCCTCCATCCCAAGGCAAAAGTACACAAGGAACTTAAACTCTCATAACCAGGTCTGGCACAAGGACAAAGCTCCACATCTTGAGATGATTTCGGGGCTTTAGTGTCCCCACGGCCCGGTCCTCGACCAGGCCTCCACCCCCAGGAAGCAGCCCGTGACAGCTGACTAACACCCAGGGACCTATTTTACTGCTAGGTAACAGGGGCATAGGGTGAAAGAAATTCTTGCCCATTGTTTCTCGCCGGCGCCTGGGATCGAACCCAGGCCCACAGGATCACAAGTCCAGCGTACTGTCTGCTCGGCCGACCGGCTCCCATACACATACACACAACACACACACACTACACAAGCACCAAGGTGAGTTGAGAGCAGAAGCCTCTTGACACCCAAAAAATCCTCGGAGAAAATAACTCGGTAAAGACACCTGAGAATGCAACATAATAAAGTTGGAGCAAAATAATAATAAGGAAACACACATCTTAAATTCCCATACTTTCCTGATCTCGATGAGCACATCAGATTCTGGTATTGAGTAGATGCTGGTTCTGGTATAGATTCTGGTGCTGTGCAAGTTCAGAGGCCTGGTAGCATTGTGAAAACATCTGTGGAACTAGAGCCAATGAACCGGGGGAACTTACTAATGAACTTGCCAAGAAAAGCATCTTTTATCTATATTAATAAATAAGTTGAGGGAAGGAGTTCATCGGTTGACTCCTACATGTGAATACTGTACTGTATATTAAGAGATACCATTATATAAGCATGACAATTATTACAAGGGTAGCTCATTGTAAGTTGCACACATGTTCCTTGTGTAACTGTCAAGTTATAGATTAAGGTGATGCATATTAATGTGAGAAAATACATGTGGATCCATCAGCTATGGCAAGGAAAGAGGCAGCTCTGCTCCCTTATTGCTAAATACTTATTCATGTGTGGAAATAATGTTTAACATTTAATATACAGGGTAAAACTATATTCAACAGTAAAAAACTACAGTATATACAGTAGGCCAGATTCAACACAGCATTACTTTAAGAGGACAAATCACAATAACATGGCTGAACATAGGATGACCAAACCACAAATCAGAAGTATGGAGTAAACGATGACGTTTCGGTCTGTCCTGGACCATTATCAAATTGTATGTGGACTTGATATATATGATACATGCATATCAAGTCCCCATACAATTTGTTAATGGTCCAGGACTGACCAAAATGTCTCCATATCTTGTTTTATGAATTTTGCATTTACTGTTCTGCTTAGTAAATGTTTTATTATGCATATTTTTATGGCAGGATAAACCATAATTTATCATAATTAGTACCATAATTGGAGAACAAATTTATCTCATGATACAACCACCAGTAATGTTTGCTCCAAATTCAACATTTATGACAAACAATAATGATGTAATGAATTTGAAGAGGGAAAAGGAGAATCTTTTATTTCTTTTTCCCTCTCTGTGAACTTTAGTTCAAATATCATGTTATTCTGTGAACATGACACTTCTCCCTCTGCACAACGCTACCTTGCGGTGATTTCGTGGCTTAACATGCCCGAACTTGCCCGAAACGCTACGCGTACTAGTGGCTGTACAAGAATGTAACAACTCTTGTATATATCTCAAAAAAAAAAAAAAAAACATCCCCGCGTCCCGGTCCTCGACCAGGCCTCCTTGTACCGAGATAAACTACTCTAAACAATAAAAGGCTGCTACAAGACACCTAAACTCATGATAAATATTTTGGAAAAGTGTTTACTGCCAAAACAAAGCTGATAATTTTTAGCAACAATTGGGACCCCCTTTGATAAGCTGCTGGCTTCCAGTCCTTGATGAGGCCACCAAGGGCGACAGTGACCCTCTGGGGTCAATTGAGATAAAAATGGGTTTCCACTTGTATATTCAAAATCCAATTTAAGTAAATGTAAATGTGTGTTCCTTTCAGAAGGCATATTGATGTGTGGGTACATCATTATACCTGTATTATGCAAATACTGTATACCAGGGCATCGTGTTACAGCAATAGCACTTATTAACTTGAAGGATCCTTATTATAAATGTGTTGTGGCTTGGTTAAGCCTGTAATGTTATAGGTGGAATCTCTAGTAGTCCTTGTGTGTCCATGTCTGGTAACAAAAATTGATGTAAAATAATTGGGGTAATGTAAGAGTCTTTGCATACTTAGTAAACAGAAGCCCGGAGAAGAGGAGCTTAAATTATTCCCGTGAAGACATGGTGAAGGCCTTTAAAAGTGCAAAGTTACAGAAAACATAATACTTTGTCAAAATTTTATAACATAGTTAACTAATAAGAAAATTTGTGGAAGTCTATGGAAATGAACTTTGTGTATTATGGAGCAGCAATATAATGTCTGCACACCTTCACATATCATAATAAATTTTAAGAGTGACTTAGTCTAATGCATATTGTAATATGCTATAATGTATATGGAGTAATTTACCAACACTTAAGGATAGCAGAACTATTTCAGCTACAATTCTTTAACTATTCAACATTTTAAAATATTTTCCTACTTGTATTACTTTAGCTTGTGCCCAGTACTTCTCTATTGCATTTCAATACCCGTAGAAATATATGCGTGTTGAACACCAATAAACCGTCGCTTTACCATCCACTTTGTGGATGATAGAGCAACGGTCTCGTTTCATGCAGGACGCGTTCAGTCCCCGACTGTCAATGGGTTGGGCACCATTCCTTCCCCCCATCCCATCTCAAATCCTTATCCTGATCCCCCTCACAAGTGGTATATAGTCATAATGACTTGGTGCTTTCCCTGATAATTCACTAACCTATCATGTTTCAACATCTACCCGTCACGCTTTACTACTTCGGCACTAACCTATTACACTTCAACACCACCACTTTCCCTACATGTTCAATCTCACTAAATAATAATAATAATTCCACCTCTGCATTACTAGCTCATGATAGACGAAAAACGAGTTGGAAAAGTATTCCAACATTGTTTTACAAAGTACAATATTACCTGCTGTCAACATATCTCAAGGGAATATCTTGCATTTGTTCACATGTTACTCCATTAACCTCCCTATATCTCGCTACAAACTTTCCTTAAGCTTATCTATATAACATATGCCCTTCATATCTCCAGCTTTGCACTGAAGTATCCAAATTTTTTGTTTACAAATACCCATGTGTATAAATAATGTGCATTGAAATGTTCAGACATTCCTTTATTATATCAATATTACTTGCCATATATTTTTTATCTTCTATACATACATACATACATACATACATACATACATACATACATACATACATACATACATACATACATACATACATGGGCATACCCTCACCCATACACATACATACATACATACATACATACATACATGGGCATACCCTCACCCATACACAGATTCAAATAGAAATGACAAAACTCAGTCATTGCAATGTTAGGCAATTTGTTAATGTGAATCTCTATGAAGTAGTGGCTTAAACAAATAAAAATTTGCACAAAAATTATTTCTTGATTGTTTACAGGAAGCTGTTGTAAAAATTGTTTGTTTTCTTCAGTAACACCAACTTCTTAAGAACACAAAACCAAAATGTAGAGGTGTTGTAGAATACTGTATGTGTGTGTTGTTATTGTTCAAATGTAAAAAACAGCTTGGCAAAGAATTGATCAGCTTTAAAGTTCAGAGAACCTCTGTAATGTACACAAGTGAGCACAAAGGAGTTAAATAAGCCCACAGATTAGAGATAATGTATAGGTATATATATATAGGCTCCTGTGGCACAGTGGTCTACATCCACACCTCATAATTACCCTAACCTAGGTAGAGCTGAAATGCTTAGACGTGGTTCCTTTCATCCGACACCTCGGCTCACTTAGCAGTAAATAGATACCCAAGGAGTACAATAGACAACTATTGCGAGTTGCATCCTGGGGAAGATCGGTTGTTGGCCTATGGGGGGCGATCTTGGTAAGCCTAAGTACAGGCTTCCTGTCCCCGATGATGGGAATTACATAGTAGTTAATATTAATCCAGGTTGTGGTAATACTGTACAAGATTTGGAGGGCACTAGAAAAGCTCCAAGCACCGAACTCCATTAGGTAATACTGTAATGCCCCTTTTATGTCGTAAGTTAAGCAATAAATATTATGGCTAATAACTCAGGATGTTTTAATTTGAAACTGTGTAATGATTGGGTAAATAAAGTGTATTTAATTTTTTAAAAGTAGTTGCTCTTGTCCTTTTGCCTAGAAATTCCCTTAAGTTGATTTTTTTTTAAACTACAGTAGACATTTTGAATAGTAGAAAGTGTCGAGACATTTTATAAACTGTAATTTAAGCTTGCATGTAGTTTGTTAGTGTAAACTCTTACAATATTTCTTATGACAAAATTGTCTTCTAAATTATTAGATTTATTAGATAATTAGTTTTGTAGTGCTGTAATGCCCAGATTGAGCTAACTAGCAGATCAGAATTGTGCAGTTGAATGTAATTAACAGTTGGAACCAGAGTGTATGTTTGCTGCTGGATAGTACGTCAACATTTACATTATCTGGTCTGTATATGCAGAATATTACTGTACTGTGTATGTAGTGTATATACACGAGTATACTATACTGCATCATAAATGTGTTGTACTG